CACAACATCTTTGTTGGTATGTGGTGCTGAGGATCGAACCCGGGCCGCACGCATGCCAGGCGAGCGCGCTACCGCTTGAGCCACATCCCCAGCCCCTATGGAGCACATTTCTAATGATGCAGAATCAAGAAACCAAACTGCCCTCATTGTAGATAGGTAGAGATGGCACCTGTAGCCTGGTTTCTGCAGTGGGTTAACTGGCCAAAGAGGGAGGGAGTCGGAGGTCTGCGGTGTGAGGGATGCTGGTGTATGTCCTGGTCTAGTCTTTGCAGGCACAGGCCTATGTCACGGGGCAGTGGGTGGAGGAGTGAACCAAAGGAGCTGTAACCTGTCAAGTTAGTGTCTGACAAGACCACAGGCAATGACAGGAGAACACAAACTATGACAAGAATCTAACATGACATGTCACACTGGGAAAACTAGTGCAGGCACATTCTTTAAAATAATAATAATAATAAAAACTTTTTTCCAAAAATGAAATAACAGCCATATTTTTGTCATTTCCCAAATTCTTCTATGTATTCCCCTAAGCCCAGACTTCCATCCTGAACAATGAGGAAAAATCAGGGGGCTGGAATTGTGGCTCAGTGGTAGAGTGCTCGCCTAGGACAGGCGGGACCCGGGTTCGATTCTCAGCACCACATAAAAATAAAGGCATTGTGTTGTGTCCATCTACAAAAATAAAAAATAAAAAAAAAGATTAATATTCTCTCTCTCGCTTAAAAAAAGAAAATCAGGAAGGATCTAGAACATCGTCTAGCCGCTGCCAGAAAACAAGGGTACTTTCACAGATGTTGGAAGCAGTGCTGGGAGAACAGGAGCTGGCTTGACCGGTGCACAGTGGGCTGAGCTGTGACTCTGAGCACCAAATGCAAAGGGATGAATACAGCTGATGGGATCAGTTTGGACTCGTGAAAGACCAGGATGAAATTATACTCAAGAAAAAGTTACTATAGAGTGCACAAATTGAATCATCAAATTTTTAAAATGAAAGTTATGTAATGGATTGTGTTTTTAATGATTTAACAGCTATGGAAGAGAGAGAGAGAACCTATACACACACATATGCACAGCCACACATACGGATGCATACACAAACACGCATGGGGTTATTTCCTTACTTTTATTAAACAGATGTTTATGTACTTCAAATACAAACTTTTTAAAACACAGAAACTGTGATTAAGCCAAGTAAAGCTGGACAAAAAGGAGTTGCTGTACCAAGAGCAGGACCAGACGCCACCTGCAGTGACCTGGTAGAAGAGGGCCTGAAATTCACCAGGCTTGAGGATCATTCACAGTGACTATTTACGAAGAGGTCACTGTGGATTCCAATATAACAATGGAACCAAGTGTCCCGAAGGTGATGCTCCCTGCCCAGATTCGACCTCTTGCCCTCAGGTGGCTGAGTTTACCATAAGGACATATCTGTAGGGATTCTAACCCAATCAGACAAGGGGTGGGGGCAGAGCAGAGGATCAGGTGAGCCAGTGGGCAAAATTATTTAAGGCTCCGTCACTTCTGGAAAAAGACACCTTCCTTCAGAAAGTAAAAATAAGCCTCAATTCCAGGGAATTCAAATCAAAAGTCAATCATCACAAAGCTTCAGTCTGACCCTCAGGGGCTGGGATTTGTGGGCCGATTCCTAATCCTGTTTAAGAATTCATAGGTCACATCCAGATGTGGTTGGGCATGCCCGTGATCCCAGGGAGGCTGAGGCAATGTGTTCTCAAATCCTGAGTTGCCGGCCTGGGCAACACAGCATGATCCTTTTTCAAAATCAAAACCTCATGTACAACCACAGGAATGGGATCCTAATTAGAATAAGTTATGCTCTATCTATGTGCAATACGTCAAACTACACTCTACTGTCATGTGT